AACGAAGGCGAAACGAATTAAAATGCGATTGTTGAATTGTGAAATGAATAAGCAAGGCCCTTGGCCGGGGGCAGATTCCCGTTGTCAGTAGCGACTTTTGATTGTTTCCAGCAGCGTTTATTTTCGCTCGGCTCCTTCGCTTCCATCTTTTTTTCTGCTGTACAAACACGAATAATCAAATGCACGCAGCTGCCGTGTTTCGCAGCAAAGTGAAAGTTAAATATTTTCCCGCCCGCCCTCGGGCGACATTCTCACATATCCACGCACATGTCAAAGGACCTAGCAGCTCGCCCACCCAGATCCAGAGGCCCGAGGAATGCGTATACGCAGGGTGGCCGGCGGAAACTCATAGATTGCATTTATGTGGCACTCATTAAAGTGCTATCTTGTTGCAGCTCCAGTTGCGAATGAAATGACAACTGCCCACGGACCGAAGGTGAAGCTAAAGGCCACTTCACATACCGAATGCAACCCAAAACCAATATTCAGGAGCCGGAATTTGAAGTAAGGTCCCGGGTTAGAAAAATACGTCGAAATGTCGCAGGTGGGCAACAGGCAACGGCGGCGAGGAGTGGGCGTGGTTCATGCGCAATGGCTGCCGTTCGGCAACTGCCAAATGCCACAACGGCCCGAATGCCAAGTCCCCTCCGAGGACACCTGCCACTCCGGGAACGTGGTGGCCAGGGAACGGTACGGAATCCGGAACGCCACCATGTTACGACAATGGAACGCCTAAATGCTCCCACTTGCATAATGCGCCAAATCTCGTTGTTTATATCTCGAACTGGTCGTGAACTTTTGAAATGGAGATTTACGGCGAAAGTTGGGGATTCCGTGCCTCCATTTTCACCAAAGACTCTGAAGCTCTAAGTGGCACAGTCCCTACCCCTGGCCGGGAGTCAACGCCCAGCGCTTGACGGCATCCACCTGTTGATTCCACTTGCTCGTCTTTGTCTCTGGCCGGGCCCCAATTACAGCCAGCCAAATGAAGTGGGGCCAGGTCGTCGGATCTGGCCAATACAACTTTGCTTATCTGCTGCGCAAAAGTTTGACTCGGCTCTAATAAGTGGACAGCATTGGGTATGGCCTGAATCAAATTAATCCACTTTGCTGAAATTTGTCAAAGCCAAGCCACGTTAGCAGGGCTGGGGGGTTAGAGGTGTAGCAAATAAACTTCTCTGATTCAATGTGACAGGCCTTCAACGAAGATACCGTAGGAAACTTTGGCCATAAAGGATGGCCCAAGTGACAAGGCGCGGTAAGTCAACCACCGACTGATTTACGGACATTCTTTAGATTCCAGTAATTGGATAATATGCTGGCTTAAAAATTGTGTTTATTACATGTTCCAGATTATTGAAAATATAATGTAATACATTCCCTTTAATATATATTACTAAAAATAGATTCTTGTGATATTAGGGTTAATGCGGATTTAAAAATTATTCTAAGCTAGACAAGCCACAGGTATTCATATAAATTTATTATTATTCATATTATATTAAATAAATCTGTACAGTACAAATAAATATTTTTGATTAATTTGATTACACATTCTTTCTTATTCATCTTTTTATTCAAGTATTTTATATTTTAAGTATTTAAAAAAATACAAATGGTCCCCTCATATATATTATACAACAAATTTATTTCGTAATCACGGGCTGCATAGCTCCCACAACAACAGACATTTATGCATATTAAGAAAACAAAATCACTTCTCATGACGCGAAGACAGAATCAAGACGCAAAGTTCTCTGCCTGTCCGCCAGCTCCGTGGTGTCTGGCCAAACCAGACGGTGCTGTTCCTGGCCATTTTTGTACTAAATTATGCACGCCGATAACAAAGCAGCACAATAAGGCAAATCGGAGCGTGATAAACAACGGGATGATAGATAGGCATACAAGGAGCGCCAGCGGTCTGGGTTAAGTAGACAATATGACATTTTCAAATTGTACATGGAAAACCTTTTACTTTGCTCCCATATTGTTTGTTAGTTAGCTGTGAATTATTTACTGGCGGGCAAGGAGGCGGGGGGCGCGAATCAGGTCACTGCCAATGCAAAGCCGGGGAAAAGTTGGCAACAACAAGTTGCCGCGACAAGGATTACTGTGTAGGGCTTTAGCGCGGAGCGTAGTGCGATGTAAAGGCGCACTAAGATCCTCTACTGCGACATTCCCATTGTTGGCGCTAATGACACTTTTATAACTTTTTATAGATTTCTCACACATAATGTGAACTCTTGGGCCATTTATCGTGGCGACAGCGACAACAATCCTTTTTGTATGGCAGCATAATACACATAAACGCCGGGGACGTTTATTTCGCCTTTCTTTTCGAAACTTATTTACGAGAATGTGCGGAAGAAGCAGCCGGATTTGGAGACCCTGGACCACGGGGGTGGAATCTGTTATGTTGTATCTGGTATCTAGTATCCAGTGGTTGTTGCTACATAGTGTTTGTCTGCTCGTTGCTGGCTGCCTCGGGGCTCGCACGGCGCGTATACGCAACGTGACGCATACGAAGCAGGAGCGGAGCAAACAAGCCGCAATATAATTTCGAAACAAATTTCAAATGCTAGGCAGGAACAACTTTTAAACTTTCCCCCCACACACACACACACACGAGCATCTGGGTCCCATAGTTACACTGATGCGTGGCAAGTTAAATTTAGAGGCGGATAAATACAACTGGGTATGGGTAAGCAAGCAAAATCAAAAGTAATCATGTTGATATTTGAACAACCCACAGGAATTATCTTCAGGTTTTCCCGAGACCCGTTTAGGTTGATTTGATTGGTCGTAAAGCTGTTAAGGAAGCCCCATCATCATCTATAAGGCTGATCAAGGAGTTTTCTTTTTAATTCCAACACCAAACGAGGAGTAGCGTGTGGCCAGCATATAAAATGGGGCCACCGTGTGCTGCTAAATATTTAATAATTATAGTTGGAGAAAGAGTTTTTGAGCCTTATACGCCCATATTCGGTTAGTATTTATTACACACGTAATTTAAATCAAACTTTAAGATATTCGCATCCATATTTAATATATGTATGGTAATCCCGAGCCTTTTTTATATCAAAATGCATAAACCTTATTTCCCAATACTCTCAAAACTCTCGATTTTCTGTACTATCAATACATGAACTTGTAGTTTGCCGAGTGGGGGTTTACAACTGCCAGACAAACATTGTTCGCTGCAATTCAATTGGAATTAAATCCAACCGCCGGCAACTGTGCCAGTCTCAACTGACCTGAGATGCTCTATTATTGGGCAGGGCATAGACATTTTCATAGCCAATCACAGTCAAAATGGTGGCAGTCATGGCAGTTCATTATGGAAAGAGTATCTGGAGGCCGCTCTTTTTGTACTCTGTAAACAGTGCACGTGGTGGCGACTGCTAACGGGTGTGTATTTTAGTTTTAATGGTGAAATTCTACCGCTCGCTCCCATAGAAATACATTGGCAGAAAAAAAGTACAGATTAGAAGATACTAAAATCATAAAATATTATTTTTTATGTCAAATTAAGCTAAACAAGAATGGAAGCTGACTTCGTAAAGCCTTTCAGTTGTCAATTGGAACAGGGAACAGGGATCAGCCATAGCTGCTATGGCAGATATCCATCCTGCAGCTTAATTTAGAATTAAGTATACAGTGTACAAATTAATAAAAACACATTAATTTCAATTCTAAAGGCTTTTCTGTGCTAGTTCCTATTTTGTTAACAGATCAGTATATTAAACTAAAGAATGCTGTGAAAAAACAATGGATTCATATTTTCTCCAGCAAACATGGAAAGATAATGACTCCTTCACAGAGTTGTAAACTTCTGGACAAAATGATAATACCCTGCAACTTAAATTGTAATCGTAATTAAATTTTATAATAAAAACTTGAAAAAATTGCCTTTTTTGAGCTGTGCTTATAAAAGGGCTTTGTAGACTGCCATTGTCAAATATACTAACGTTGGCAGCATTTGTAACTGGTTGGCTTTTGTTCAAATTACAAGTTGCATTTTTGCCCGCCATTCGCTCCTCCTGCCGGCCAGGCCAGGACCTGCTGGCAGTGTTGTTGGTGTGTCAATATCCTGGCGTCATTGTTATTACTGCCGCCCGAACATGCGCCTGCTCGTTAGCTGGAAACTACATACATAGTTCCAGGGCGCCCTGTTTATGCGCCCCGACGTCCTTGTTTTCGCCAGCAACTTCGACATTTGATCAACACCATTAAAAGCAGGGCAGCAGGACAGATGCGAGGGCTCAGATTAAAGCTGGCCACCAGCAATTGGCATCGTTTAATTCCGTGCCAGCATCAGATCCCCCAGGAATCAATGCAAAATGTCAACTGGCAGCATCCGGTTTCTACGGCAGCTCTTCCTTTCGCCGGTGCACTTTCCATCCGTCCAGTCCCAGCAGGGGGAAACTCGGAAAAACTTTGGCTGTTTAAGCCACTTAAAGCGAACCGCAAACTGTTTGCCAGCTATGAGTGCGAGTTGATTAAATTAATTAATGCTCAATTAGGCATGCTGATTTCGCATTGCAGTCGATTGTAAATGAATAAATAATTATGCACGGCTAATAAATCTTTATTCTTTATTCATATTCGCGGCAGTTTTTCATAGCAGACAAAAGGTTTTCACCCTGCCAATTTATGTTTATAAATTATAAATTATAAATTTATGAATAACAAAATTTCTGGAAATATCTATACAATTAGTTTATCGATGCAATAGTTGCTATGCAATAGTTGGATAAACTTAAATTATTTCTTTTTTGGCAAGTCAGCTCATTTAAATAAACTCTTTAATCCGATAGGATCTATCTTTATCTACATATATTCTATCATCCTTAATATATTTTTTTTTAAATAGAAAAGTGTATCAACTTATTGGTTCATCGGATATTTCCGCTTATTCATCTATATATTATTTATAAAATGACAATGAGTAGCAGGTTGTACTTGGCAGTAATAACTTGATTGGCAAGCCAGCTCGTTCTGAAGTTTCTACACTTATAAGAGAGAACGCTTAAACTGGAAATATCTCAGTGCAACTAGAATCTTTCGGCCCACAAGATGCGGTCCCCTGTTTTTCTCATTTCGCTGGTGTCGTTATCCATTTTATTTTCAAGTGAGTAACAGATCAAAATGAGCTTGAAATAGAAACGATTTAACAATTTAAAGTTTAACAGCCGCCGTTGGACAGAATTGCGGAAAACTCGATGAAAAGCAGTTCAAAAACAATAGCACCACGACGGAGATAGATGAGCATCCGTGGATTGCCAGAGTCGAGCACACCGATAGGAGTGGTGACCGTTCCTGGGGCTGCGTGGGCGTCCTCATAGATGCACGCCGGGTCCTAACTGCCGCTCACTGCGTTTTAAGGCCTACCTTTGAGGTTACAGCCGTGATTTTCGGCGACTGGGATGGCAGCAATGATGTCGCTGATCCGGATTGCAATAGTGAGGGACGCTGCACCCCCACGCCCCAGCGAGTGACTGTCAGCGAGGTCAAAGTTAGACCAGATTACTCACCTGAGAATATCCAAAATGACCTGGCTATAATCACGCTTCGGAAGGACGTGGAGTACAGCGACTACATCCAACCCATATGCCTGCCTTCGGCCACCAAAAGCGAAGTGCCCAATGGAGATCTTACAGTGGCAGGCTTCGAAAGACCCCCGCTGAGGGAGAGGGGAGAGGTCAATCTTATCAAGGAGCGTATAAAGATGCCGTTTACAAGGAAAAGTGGCGCCGAGTGCCACAAACAGCTTTCGCAGTTTCCGGCAGAGCTCATCTGCGGCAGCACCGAACGAGATCCCCTCTCCGGTAGTGCTTTGGTGGAGACTTCAGGCACTCCTCGAAAGTACCACTTAACTGGCATTGCAGTGGCGGGCTTTTACTCCAAATCCTTGAAAACTGATTTCCAAGGCCATGTAAACATCAGATCCCACTTGAATTGGATAAATGCTTTGTAAAAATATAATGTGGGAATGAGCAAAATATACACAGCATGAGTAGTGAATAAAAACTGCCCAAAATTGAGGTGAATTCCTTTCGTCCACTCTTAGTTTTCTCCTTTTTTTACAAACCTTTTACCAGATAGGTCGAGCTAATTATCAATATTAAACTTACATATAAAATAAAAGATTTTTATCATTTGAAAGACTTATCTGTGTCTTCCCCCATATGCATTACCATATCGTCATAAAATAAACATTATTTAATCCCTTGATGGTATACTTTTAGTCAGAAGTTTGCAATGCAGTAGAAAAGTCATATCCGATCCTATAAAGTTGATATATTCTTGACAACAGCCAAGACGATCAGTCCGTCTGTCCATCTTGTTTGTTCGTCCACTCCGTATTATTTTGGAATTTCGGTTTTAAAATTTTGAATTATTTCGTTGTTTTTGTTCAGCATGTATGTATTATATTAGATATTTTAAACCTAAAATAAAATTTTTTTATACGATTTAAAAATACTTCTTTTTAATTTAATTGAAACATAATAATTGTATGTTATTTCTATTCAATTGGCCATACTGATTTGATTCTTAATAATCCAATTGCAAACTGCAAGAGTGTGCCGAAGTGTGCTTCCTTTCTTGCTTTTGTGTTTAATTAAATTCTTTTCCGAAATTCAATGTTTTCAAGGGAAATGGGGTAAGCCTTCTATGCATTATTCATTTAAAGCCATTGTACTTTATTGTATTTATTTATTGATTTGCTGTCGAAGCTAAAGCATTTCGTTCTACTCAGTAACTGGATTGACCAGCCAGCTCGATTATATACTAACTCGGCTCAGTGTATCTAGAACCTTTAAAACCACAAGATGAGAGCTGAGGATTTTCTGATTTCCCTGACGACTTTGCCCATATTGTTCTCAGGTGTGTGGAAAGATACTATTTATTTTGCAATTTCAATTCACTGAGGTGGTAATTACAGCACTCCATGCGTCGTCGGTTGTCCAATGTGGAAAATTCAATATAAATCAATTTGAAAATAAGGCCGAGATTACCGACCTGGACGAGCATCCGTGGATCGGACGTATAGAACGCAGCGACAAGGATGGAGCTTACGCCTTCGTGTGCGTCGGCGTCCTTATAGGTTCCCGCCATGTCCTGACACCAGCTCACTGCGTGGCCAGGGTTTCTCCTGAAGCCGTCCACCTGATTTTCGGCGACTGGGATGCCAGCAATAACAACACAGCTGCCGATTGCGACAAGGGCGTCTGCGCTCCGCCGGGCCAGCTACGGTCTGTAAGCAAGATCACCATCCATCCAGACTACAAGGAGAGAGACCACCAAAATGACTTGGCCGTGATTGAGCTGGACAAGAATGTGGAGTTCTCCGAGTACGTTGAGCCCATATGCTTGCCTCCGGCCGAGTCTGTGACCAACCGCTCAGGTCTCATCGTGGCGGGCTACCAGATACCTGAAGGCCGGCCCGACAATTCACTGGCATATAGACGCCACAAGATGAAGTTCGAGCAATCTGAAAACACAGAGTGCCACGAGGAGTCCTGGTCAGATGTCATCTGCTGGACGACCGACCGGAACCCTCTCTCCGGGTCTGCTTTAGTTGAGGCTTCCGGAAGTCCTCGGAAATACTATCTAGATGGTATTGTGGTGGTCTCCTTTAATTTACTCGGATACCACAGGGGCTGCTTAAGTATTCGATCCCACCTGGACTGGATCCGGCAGAATACGTCCCAGTGAGGCCTCGAGATCTGGGGGAAACTTTTCTCATTAGCACTGAGGGTTTTAATTTGTAGCTGCCAAGCTGTGGAGCTGTGACCTTTGAGAGGTAGATTTTTTATAAATAAAGACGCAAACTCTATGCCAAGTTTGTGGGTATCCGGTTGACGCCTCAGTCTAGTTGCTGCTTCTAATAAATTGAAAATGCTTTCAGGTTATTTGCACAAAGTTGCCGATGGCCTCTGACCCAAGCCCAAATGCATAAATCACGCGAGGCCCCAAAACACAGTTGGGGTCTTTGCTATTGGGATGTCGCCTGCACGGAATTTAATTCCCACCAACCACGTCCCATACCCACGCCCTCGAAACCAGCAACTTTTGCCATTAGGGAACCCCAACCGCCGCCGATTCCTCGGGCTGGCTGGCAATACTGCTACTGCTTCTGCTACTCTGTTTTCGGGGAAATGCACTTTTTCGACACTTGGCTGGCGCCAAAAACCTTAAGTACATATCAACCGGAATAATTTATGCTGCTCCTGCTGCTGCTTCATCTCCCCCGCAGCCTTATCGAGGTGCAGCCAAGGAATATGGAAATGTGCGAGCAGCTGCAGCCATAAATTCATTGAAGTGAAGCACTCGTAAGGGGGACGCGTGCAGCATGGAGCTTGTAGCTTGGAGTAAGTGGAACCGGAGATTTACACAGCCAATGAATCATGCCTAATTGGCGCCAATCGCCGGGCACTGATCGCAGTAGCTGAAGGATTCCGGTGGAGTCGTCAACTTGAACTTGATTACGCATACGCCCCGTTCACCGAGCAGCGTTTCGCGGAATGATTAATGTGCCATAAAATGCGCGCGCCAAAAACATTCACAGCTAGTCCCTAAACACGCGAAACTCGCACGCAAAAGCGACGCAGTAGCGGAGCCAAATTAAAATACACATTTTTATGGCACTTTTTTATTGCAACACGTAAAACATAAATTGAGACAAGATGAAGTGTAAGCCAATTGCGTGCGGCCCCTACAAGCAATTACAGTTTTAAATGCAACGCACATAAAATGCATGAAATGTCTTTTTAAACGATAACGAGCAGGGATGCCAGAGGGAATTCCACATTGCCCAAGCATAGGCCTTCTTCTTAGCTTAGTCGTTATCCGACTCTGCACCAGAACGAACGCTACAGAGCGGAGTACAAAGGAATATGCTCTCACCCAGAACGCTGGCTATCTTGGTCGCTTTATCAAGTATTGCTCAGGGCTGTAGGCATTACTTATTTCCTGACTTACAAAAAAATTAAAATAAGTACCATTGCAGATTTCCATTCGGAGAGCTCGGCTCTGGAGTGTCTGGACATTGAATCACTGAACGGTCTTGAGACGGAGCAACTGAGCTGGCTGGGCAGGATCCGGTACACCCGGTCTTCCGGCGGAGTGTGGTATCCATGCTCCGGCGTTGCCATCACCCCCCACCACGTCCTCGCTCCCGCCCACTGTGTAATGTTCCAGGAGAAAAGGGATATATTCAGCTTCTTGGTGGACAAAAAATTGCACGCCGTCAGTCAAGTCTTCATTCACCCCGAATATCGCCTGGAGAGCTCAACTCACGATGTGGCGGTCTTAAAGCTTAATCACAGTCTCAGCTCTTGCCTGGCTCTGTCCGAGGTCGAGGGCTTCGAATCCCTGATTGGCCAGCGCTTGGATGTGGTCAGCTCGGCGGAGAAGCACCCGAAGAACGTCCACGCCCAGGCCAAGGTTACGGGTCAATCATACTGCCAGCGTAAATTTAAGGATTTTAAAATCTCTGAGAACGAGGTGTGTGCGCACCTCCTCCACCGAAACAATGAGTTTCTGAATGGTGCAGCTTTGTTGGGGGTCAAATGGTTAAGCGGAACTGAGTCCTGGCGCCTACTTGGAATATCAACACACGGACCCTACGAAAGGAACAACCAGGTGCCTGACCTATATACTCTTGTTGCCCCGTACGCAAAGTGGATTAAGAATATAACCAAGATGTACTGATTTCCAATCCATTCTAGGTCCTAAGGTTTATTTATTTATTTGCTTACTTTCACACTGTATGCTTACTTGTAAACTGATAAGCAGAAGTATAACCCAATGCAAGAATTCTTGAAATAAGATTCAGCTCTTTTATCAACTTTACAGTTTTGTTTAGTGAGACCGCTGGTTATTTTTAGCACTGAAATCATATTTTCCAGAGCAACGTTTTGCACTAAGCTCCAGATCAGTCTTAATTCTGTCACAGATCAACGCAAACGAGATGCCAGCCAGTCACTGCCTGTTTCTTGTTGTGGCATTCGTTGTACTTGCCATAAGTATGTGTTTATAAAATAGGGAATTTAAATACAAATTTATCGGTTTTCCCTTAAATTAAATCTTGTTATCAGTTACTAAGGTGATTTTCGGAACGGTAACATGTGGCCGTCTGGCTGAGACTCAGCTGTACAATAACAAACCATTCACGGAGCAGGACGAGCACTCTTGGCTAGGACGTATCATCTATAGATATGTGAACGGATCATCCACATACCGCTGTGCTGCCGTCCTTCTTGATTCTCGCAATGTCCTGGCGCCCGCGCTCTGCTTGAAGGGCAAGGCCATACAAGAGCATACTCCCCACGCGGTGACGTTTGAAACTCCGGAGTGCCTATCAGTCGGATCGGTGCCGAGGGCTTTTGAAATTGAAAGGATCTTCGTTCCCCCAGAATATAACGAGACCGCCTATCAGAACGACCTGGCCGTGATCCGACTGGCGGAAGAGGTGCCCTTCTCGAAGACAGTCCAGCCCATATGTTTGCCTCAGTCCGCAGAGAATTCACGGGCGTTGGCCGGAATGAACTTGGAACTGATTGGCCACGAACTGGGGAACTACCGTCCGGACAGTCTGCGCGTCAAGACACATGCCCACATGCTAGATCAAACGTTGTGCCAGAAGTTGTACCAGCAGATTTCTCCGCAACAAATCTGTGGCTATGTCAGTGGAAGTCCCTTGCAGGCAGGATCCATTCTGGTTGGCGTTCGCCTCATCGACGGCGAGCCTGTACAATATTACCTTATCGGGCATCTGTTGGCCGGATACAATGAGATAGTCGACGGAGCAGACCTCTTTATGTACATCGCACCCTATAAGGATTGGATAGAGAAAATAATGAAGACCGAAAATTAAAACGATTTGGTGGTTCAAAGCATTTTAAGAATTATATATTTACCATAACTATGTTAAGAATCATTACTTTCAAATAATTTTAAATTAGTTTATCAATGTTTTATGCATGGTTAATAAATCTCCATATCAAATTAAACAGTTTTTATTTTTATTTATTTAGGAAAATGGGAATAGTTCTTTGTTCCTAGATCGACTGTGCTATTGTTGCTGATCACAAATATATATTTATAGGTTGGAAATGACTATAGAAACCAAAAGAAATCTGTTGGTTTTAAACTCATTTCCTTACCGTCTCACAGTAGCGCCTTTTCTCATTTAGCGTTGCAAAAATCATATCTTTTGAACCAAATAAGGTAATCGAATAATTTAAACGGCATTGGACAGGTAATTGTTGTAAAATATATATATGTACTGCATAAAGTACCACGCCCACAAATACGCCTTTTCAAAGGGTATCAAAGTGAAAAAATAATTTTTTTTCAATGAAAACAATTTTTAAACAAAAATTTGTATTTAATTTTTTATGTTTATTTTTATGTATTTGCTCAAATAAAAATAATTTGAAAACTGAAAAAAAATTTTTTTTTTTTATTTCAAAGTATAACCGCCACGCGCTAGTTAGTATATTTCTTGAAATGTATGAAATTGTGTCGGTATTTTGGTATATGTTACCCTGAGTTGTTTTGGTTTTTTGCGTTGCATTTCCGCAGACTCAGCTTGACGCAGCCGATGAAAGTTAATTCTGATCCAGGAAAGATCCACGGAACTTGTAGTCATAGTGTAGTCAGTGGCCGGCATTGGCGTCAAAAGATATAGACTACTTTAGGCAGAAAAAGGTGAAAAAAATGGACACCTGGCAGGTAGCGATTTACCTGTAGAAGCCCAAACCAAAGTGTCGTTTTTTTAGGTTCTTTAATAGTTTATGAATGTATCTATCATTTAAAGTAAAAACCATGACCATTGGTTTTATGGTTTTTTTGTAATATTACCTGAAAGTCGACCAATTTACACATTTTTTTTGTATGATGCAAAAAACGAAATAAAGTTCAACTTTAAATGCTCATAACTTCTACAAAAAAAATCTTAAAATTGATTTTATTGCAGATTCTGAATCCTTGTTAAATTTCCTGTCGAATAAGTATGGTTAAAATCGTTTTTGCGAACATGACTTTTTTGATTTTTGCAACGCTAACTGTTCGAGAGGCGCTACTGTGCGTCTGCTCAGCTAAATTAACTGCTAAAATTAAAAATCTTACTGAAAACCACCACATCGTGGTTCTTAAAATAGATAGGTATTTGGAATACTCTACTCTGTGCACTCTATGTATGTGTTTTTGGTGGAACTTAAAATTTAACATTGCAATATAACTTGTGAAATTTAAAAATAACGCATTGGCGGTAGGAGTTGCCACATCACTGGACAAAGAAGAGTAATTCACGTTTATTACAATACCGATAGTATCGATTTATTTTTCGACCTCTAGCCTTTGCAAAGTCTTGCAACGCTCTGAACACTTTCAGGGTGTTTTTCCACTGAAAGCGAACCATCGCGCCCACATCGCCCCAAACGTATTAATCGAAAATGTCGTTTGAAAAGTATGGCAACGCTAGTATATTGACAGCAAATAGAGATGGCATTATATCTAAGTTTGTCTCAAACTATCGATACTATCGTTAGTACCATGATTGTTTTGACATCTCTACCGTCACGGAAGAAGAAGAATTTCCCTCCAAAATCGTTGAATTTAGCAAACAAGATTTGTTTACAACTGAATGCCTTGGCCAATTCGATGAACACCATTCTAAACAACTTCCAACGGGCCGAGAAAATCGGCGAGGGCACCTACGGCATTGTCTACAAGGCGCGGAGCAACGCCACCGGCCAGGATGTGGCGCTCAAGAAGATCCGTCTGGAAGGGTGTGTAGCCGTCATTCGGACGCAAGAACCCACTCGTTGGATTAGGAAACCAAAAGGGAGTGCGGCGTCATCATTGGCGTGCCCTCGGCAAATGTTTTTCACCTGCACCACGCAGCCCGGATTCTGTGGGGGCTGCGCTGTTCCCCTTTCCGCCATCCGTAGCACCACATGATTCGGCTTCGTGGTGCAGGCCAGCATCCACGGATCGCCACCCGGAATTACCCGAAAAGTTCACAAAAAAGCGTTTATTGAAAGCCACTTTCCCTTTTCTTTCAAGAGAGACGGAGGGCGTCCCCTCGACCGCCATTCGGGAGATCTCGCTGCTGAAGAACCTCAAGCACAAGAATGTGGTGCAGCTCTTCGACGTGGTCATCTCGGGGAACAATCTGTACATGATATTCGAATACCTCAACATGGACCTGAAGAAGTTGATGGACAAGAAGAAGGATGTGTTTACGCCCCAGCTGATCAAAGTGAGTAATTGCAGCCGGAATGCCCCCAGACAGTCGCCTAAATTGGTTACTTCCAGAGCTACATGTACCAGATCTTCGACGCCCTAGGATTCTGCCACACAAACCGCATTCTGCATCGCGATCTCAAGCCCCAGAACCTACTTGTGGACACTGAGGGCAAAATTAAGGTGGGATCAGATGGTGGCTTTGCTTGTCTATCCACTAAAACCCTCAATTTTCAGTTGGCTGACTTCGGTCTGGCGCGAGCCTTCAATATGCCCATGCGAGCCTATACCCATGAAGTGGTCACCCTGTGGTACCGTGCCCCAGAGATTCTGTTGGGCACCAAATTTTACTCCACCGGAGTGGACATCTGGAGTCTGGGCTGCATATTTGCCGAAATGGTAAGACTGCTGTGACCCTAAGAGATTCCATTCCATAGAGGATACGTTTTTTCAGATCATGCGCCGCTCCCTATTTCCCGGGGACAGTGAAATCGACCAGCTGTACAGGATATTCCGCACCTTGGGCACGCCTGACGAGACCAAATGGCCGGGGGTGACGCAGCTGCCGGACTTCAAGGCCAAGTTTCCCAAGTGGGAGGCGAATATGCCGCAGGTCCTCACCGAGCACGAGGCCAACGATCTGATAATGGTGCGTAAAATAAAGTCCAACCCGGAAACACATTCGATTTATATTTTGTATTCTTTTCTCGCAGTCCATGCTGTGCTACGATCCCAACCTGCGTATCTCCGCCAAGGACGCCCTGCTGCACACTTACTTTAAGGACGTGCAACACGTTGACCATGTTGCCCTGCCTGTGGACCCCAATGCCGGCAGTGCCTCCCGCCTCACGAGGCTCGTTTGATCGTGCCGCCCCCAGCCCAGATCTAGCAAACTACTTGTGATCTTTAGTATAGTAAGTCCCATGTCTACCTCGTTAGCGTTAAGGTGAACTAGTGCAATTATACGTTATCTACGTTATCTAATTTCTCTTGCAGCCGCCAGCTCCATTTCATGCATTCCCCACCTTCACCCACTCATAACTCCAGACATCCGTACAAATACACGATCATCCAGTACATACAGAGTTTATTCAAGACAGGTTAGCCTGGCTCACCAGGCGCCCAGCCGAAAGAAGCGGCGTGGATGAAGGCGAGGCGAGACCTTGGCCTCGGCGTCAAATGCTCCTGCTCCCTCGCTAGTTTGCCTCTGACGCTGCCGCGAATGGCGATCGTCGCGCATGTACGCGCCCAGGGCATTGCGCATGCTCTCGGAGAGAGGTGAGTGGGTGGCCATGTCGCTCTCGTCTTCGCCAGTTGTTGCATCTGCCGATGCGCTGCTGTCGTCGGAATCGCTTTCGGTCTCCTCAATCGTGTCTTCGCTTTCATTGGTCGCTTCTGGTTCGCTGAGTTCGGTTAACTTGGCTGCGGATGGGGTTTTGGGTGGCGACACTGGCAGGGGGCGCAGAAGGGTAACCTTCCGGTGACCAAGCCTCCGCATCACGGCCGGCTCTTCCTGCTCGTTCTCGTCCTGCTCTAGTTCACCCTGCTGCTGGTCAGGGTAGTGGTAGAAACTGGCCTGGAAGTCCTGTGGACTGAAGCGCTGCACTCCGTAATAGCTGCCGGAGTTGGTATCGTAGAAGAACATGGGCTGAGGGTGGGCTGGATGGGGCGGTGGTGCATAGTAGGGTTCATACGAGCCGTAGGGATCTTCACTTTCATCCGAATCGTAGACGGGGCGGCGCTTTAGCTGCTTGCGGCGCTTCCGGTTGCGCTTGCTGGAGCTCGGCGAGGTTAATGGGGCAGGTTCCTCGTACGGAAGCTCCTGTTCTTCGTCGTAGGATTGAATGAGAACTGGCGACGTCTCGATAATATTGGCACTGCCGTCGTTGAAGAAGTTAGCCAGCGGATTGGTCAGGTTGCGGAAACTGAAGGCGGGCTGGACACTGCGAACAAAGCTATTCCAGACGCGGACCAAAGGGCGCTCAGTGGTAGTGGCTGGAGCTGCCTTGCCCAGTCCGTGGACATAACGCCTCCTGTATCCACCTTTGGCATTAGGCAGGAGCACATACTCGATGGGATAGTTCCTGGAGCTGGAAATATGATTACTTGTTAATTCCGATGGTAAGTTGGCAAAGTACACGAGATGTTCCTTGCCTTATCTTGGCCTTCTGGGGCCAGCGTTGTTGAGTTTCAAGAGCTGATATCCTGACTGCTTGGGCAGGATAACTCCAAGCCACAAATAATAACAAGGCCACACAAACGGCCCACTTCATGGCTCAATACTGGACTGAATTCGACCTAGTGATAAAAGCGTCCGTTGCCGTTCCCGGTCGAGGGCCAACTGATACTCCTCTGAGTGGCGATTTCTGTGGTCAACACCTCGACGCCACTGCCTTTGTCTTGTCAGCGAGCGCATCTCATTAGAACAGCTTTTATGGGACCACCGAACGGTTATCCAAACTCTTAGCCAAATTGATTAGTAATGGCATTGTCCCCAGCCCCAGTCCAACACTAACTCAACCCGACACTCTAAACCAACTAACCCAATTCGACGACCACATCTCCCGCGGGCCTCGTTGTCAGCTGCCAATGCCGCCCATACATATGCAAATGGATTTTTATAGATTACACAATTAATACGCCATTCACGGTGTTGACTGTGACTGAAAAACTCGTTTGCCGGTGGGTTCTGATTTCCAAAATTATGCAAAGCTGTCGCGAAATGCTTTCTCCTGACGAATTTGTGTTTATGATGGCTTCTCCCTATCCAGACTTTACGATCTAGCTAAAGATGTGGGTTGTAATGGGTGCATTTTCTTGGCAGGCAGCATTAAGGTTTGATGGCCCAACAATGCTGATTCTGATGGGAACTCCAAATAGTCGCACAAGATGGACTTGACAAATTTGGCAATCTTTACTGCGGGGGAATTGGGAGCACTCTGCAAATTAAGATGAGATGTTTTTATCAAATCAAAGTTTTGGAAAAGAATTATAACACTTTCTAAAGTCTGAATCCAAGTTGGGGTACAGTCGTGAATTATAAATGATTATATATCTTTATTAAAAAAAAAATAGTAATAATGACTTCTTAATGCTAATGTTTTGTGAATTGCATAGCATAATTTGCTTTTGCAATCTCAAGAGAGTGTCATTGAACCCTTATTTTCCGTATCTTTAATGCAAAATAAAGGAGGTATTGCGGAATTTTAATAGAGCGCTCCAAGAAATCTGAGGGAAACTGCCGAAAAAAGAACACAACGAATAATAAAGCGAAAGGAGTTTTACAAGGTTCCGATTTGTTCCAGTGTCTTTATGCACAAAGCCCAAGAAGGTACCTCAACCCAATGCTCTTCAAATATGAATAACACTTGCATGTTATTAATATTTATTTTTCAAATAAATTTATTGGCCACGGGACACTGCAACTGCACACTTACCTGAAACGGAAAATCGCTTCCTCTGGCCATGATAGTAGACTACAATCGATTTGGTGACTGAAACTGCCGTTTAGAAACAATTTCATTGACTTGCAATAACTTATTTTGTAACGGCAATCACGAAATGTGGAAAACCTTATCAGCCAAAATCTCGAAAAACTGGCTTCCTTTGCCAGGCAATTTACTGAGTCCTTCGAACAGCTGAACGTTAAAGCGGCGCAAAAAGGAAAAAGCAAACAAAACAAAAATCAGGAAAAAACGCAAAGAAAATTCCTAACAAGTGTTTTTCTTTACGAGCCCGATGGGGAGAGGAAAAGCGGCGAGAGCAAGCCGTGGCCCAGAGAGAGAGGGCTTTTCTAGTGCGAGAGTAAGGCCAGGAAAAGCTCCGACGCTGGCTTGGGCCGCTGGCGAGGCAGCTCAGGAGTCGTCGGGTCAGTCACTTTGAGATTCCTGGCCAGAAACGACACGGGCTCCCAGAACGGCCGCGGCGCGTGCTCTAGAAAAGGAAGGCTGGAAAAGCGCCAGCAGCAAACGGTAGAACACCAGAAACGCTGCTGTCACAGTTTCCACCTAAGTCGAAGGAAAACAAGTCAAAAGGCTCGTTCAAGTGGCAGTTGCTTTTTTCGGGCCAAGCCAACGCTTCGTGTGTGTGCCTCTGTGAGTGTGCGGCCCAGTATCTGTGTGACTGCCCTCCGCGCCCCAGTGTGCGTGTGTGCTGTGTGTTGTGTATCTGTGTGTGCGTGCGTTTTGTGTATCCGTGCTCCAAATTTATACCCAGCATATTTTTGCACATTTAATTGAATTAAGTAAAGGGCTGAGCGGGTACAGAGACGAGCGTCGCCAGCGCGGTTCCGTCCAGTTCCAGTCGGACCCGTCCGCCAGTCCGTCCATACACCCGCTATCTTTATATAAGAGAAAAGAGCGCAAGACGGCGAGAGAATTGCGTAAAGTTTGTGTGCCGCGTGGCTGTGCCGTGGGAAAATGACATTAAGTGCTTAAGTAAATTATATAAAATCATTAAACGGCTCGCCGAGCATCCATAAGACAGCCCATACGAAGCGACAGCTGTGCAGCCTGGAAAAACAGTTTGCCCCACCTCCGGCTCGGACGCCACCTTAAGATAAACGGATTCGCCAGGCAATTTCCCTTGCCCTGCATTCGCAAGGCGAAATGAAAAATTCAGACACAACCGTCCCAAGTTGTCACAACTGTCTGGTGTGGGCTGCGGAGACTGGGTGGGCTAGGTTTTCGACTACTGTCAAGGTGGGCGCCCACCTCAAGGCCTAGTCACTAACCCTAAACCCGACCACAGACATACACACGCTCGGAGCGACGAAAAAGTATCTTGGCGGGCGTTTTGTTTCCATTTTCAGGAGCGCATTTGTGCTTTCCAAGAGCAGCACGGAAAAAAATCTTAACCATTTTTATTACATTTTATCAGCCACATGGGGCTTAGAGAGTTGAAAATCCAGGGATGTTGTGTTTACTTAAAAGCAAAAGACCGTTGAACATTCTATTTGGGATTTTATAAATTAATTTATAAATTTATAAAGCTAACTAAAGTGTCTTAACTTTTACAGTTCAAAGGCAATAAGCAAAATTTGGGAAACTGAAATTTTATAGGATTGAGAAATGAGTGTCAAACACCCCTAGTTATCAAAATATAGAAATCTTTCTGGTCTTAAATAAATCCCCAAGACGTAATCAGACTTTCATCCTCAGTCTGCGAAACACGAAATCTGCCGAGTCGCACTTCTAGGACCCTTAACCTTTTCATTTAGAAACCGAGCATAGCTTACAAATTAATCCCCTATTTTCTCTGTGTCCCAGGTGGCTTTCTCTGTCGCTGTTGTTGTTGATGTTGTTGCTGGTTCTGCTGAGCAGGTGTCTGACTGCCACAGTTTTTGGCGTCACTTTCGTTTTCGTTCTCGCATTGCCCTCGCTCAAGTGCTGTGCTTGACCATAACCACTAAAAATGTCACATTGCGTATACGCCGCGTGGTGTCCTCGACCGCGGTGGGTGCTCTTGTGTTGTTACTGTTGCTTGTATTTGCGGCGTTGTTGTAAGCTCTTTTACTTTGGACACCAGCACCCCCGCAAAGCTGCTCTCTCCCTCTCTCTCTCTCTCTTTCTCTGTGTGTGTTTCTCGTTGGGCTCTGCTCTCTTTCCTGGGGGGCGCACTTTCTCTCGCCCAGCTGTTTGTTTTGTTTTGAATCGCATTTCGTCCCGAACGGCTGGAGGAATGTGCTGTTTATCCGTGTCTGTCGGTCGGTCATCTGGTCACGTTTTGCGCCTTCTCCAGCTCCTCAAGAACGCCCGCATGCCCGGCAATTTAAATTTTATTGTGATTTTTATTCTCGGAAAGAACAAACAGAGCGCGCCGTTTTTCTTAGCGCTGCTTTATAGAGCAATTTGGCGCCTAAAAGTATGCTCCGCCACGCCGATAAAAGCGATGTGTCTACATTAGCCTGACGAGACTTCGGGGAAGGGTGATGATAAAAGATGAAACTTGCCAGCAATTTAATATTTAATCCTCCTGGTTGTACTTTGATGTCCCTTTGTAGCCCAGCCTATGTTGTACATAGTTGTTGGCCGACGACGACACATTAAAATAACTTTTTCACATCAAGCAACCCATTCAGTGCACAGCGGAAAAAATGTGAGCAGTTATTTTTTGAAAACTACAATAAACTTTGGTTGAGTTTTTAAATATACTAAAACAAAAAAAAAATTTCTAAATTTGAAATCAATTTAAAACGGTGTCCAGAAGTATTTTAAAAATAATATTTCTCTAAGCCTCTAACTGTTTCATTTCATTCTTGAAATCATATTTCCAATTTAATTTTTAATCCAAGTTATTTCCTTGAACCGCCGCATTAGTATAAAACTCTAATTGAAGGCCTGCTATTTCGGCTCACTGCGAACGAACCAAACTTTGCTCAGTTCACCGCTTGGATTTCCTCAAATTCTGCCAGTTAAGTCAATGCCTTGGCATTCGGCCAATGGCAAGGCAGCCCAGCTGCTCGCTCCTCCAGCCACCCACTCAGCCCCCAGGGCTTCCGCTTCCGTTCTGCTGGGTATTTGCTACATTTTCGGCTGTCTCCTGTCGGCTGGCAGACTTTTATGCCCGCAAAGGGGGCTGGGCTGGCGGGGAAGAGCGATGAAATTTCCATATTCCTCGCATTAGCCAACTAGCGGCGGCTGCGCTGCGCTGAGTGACTGCTCATTAAAATGCTATAAGTGTATGAACAATTTGCATGTTGCACGAGCTTCGAGCTGGGAGCTGGTGGCTGAGTACTGAGAGCTACGAGCTGCGAGCTGCGAGCCACGGGCCTCGCGCCTTCAGCTGAATAATTAACACCCCAGGCAAGACCTGTTGGCACTTGCTCTATGCGCACTATGCCTTCTTTATTTTTCGCTCAGGAGCGTACAATCAGTGAGTCGGAATTCTGGTAGATAAAGTCCAGATAGTTGTTGATGGCCAGGAAGCTGGACATGATTCGGCTGTTCTCCCAACGCCAGTCCAGCATCAGGCCAACCAGGTAGAAGTTCTGGGTGGCTTGACCCTTCACCTGCATCCCAACCAGCGGCGCCCCTGTGTAGAAGCGCTCCGGCTTGCTTTGGTAACCGCAGACCGTGGTGCTGCTGGTGACCAGCGAGCTGACCTTTGACTGGCAGAAGGAACGGCTGAGTGTGTTCACCGTGAGCTTCAGCCGAAGGTCCCTCACAGTGCGAAGCCCGGCCACTACGAATGTCTGAGCCACCAGCGTCTGATTGACCAAGTGGGGAGGCGGCATGCAGATGGGCATTACGTTCGCATTGAGCTTGGCGTCCCGCTGCAGGGTGAGCACCGCCAGGCTGTTCTTTAGCGTCAGGGAATCGTACTCCGGGTGGATGGCCACTTCGGCCAGTTTGATCTCCTGGGCCGGGCGCACGCAAAAGCCGTCCGGGTCGCAGGAGGGCTCATTGATGGGAGTGCTCTTGTTGAAGACGCCCAGGTGCACGGACAGGCCTTCCGCCATTCCGTTAAATTGCACGAAGCAATGGGCTGGAGCCAGCACCGTCCGCTTGGATATCAGCACGCCCAGGCAACCGTTCTCCCGGATCTTGCCCTCGAAACCTGCCAGTGTCGGAGAGATTACATTCTCCCATCTGATACATAAAAACATCACAATGCTCACCCTTGGTAAAGGTGACCCGGGCCACCCACTGGTGCTCCGTGGGATAGGCGAAGCTGCCCAGCCTGAGGAAGTTGTCCTCATCGAAAAGGCCGCACTGCACGGTGTCCGGGGCTGATTGCACCTCGGAGCCAATCCGAAGCAGTCCCAGCAGTAAGGTGATCAGTGCGCTTTGTCCAAGCATTCTAGAGCGCAGCTCAAACTAAACTGGCAACGGACTGGGAAAACTTGAACGTCTCCGACTAGGTTTCTCAATGCAAAGCGTTGGGGTTTATCCAGGGATTTATGATAGATATGATCTTGGCTACACTAAGAAAAATCTACTAAAGCTTAACCTCCAAATTATTAAAAAGTTGTTTTAAAATTGTAGACGTATGGCTTGGAAGTTAGATAATTATTCTAAGGCAACTGATTTACTTCGCAACCATAACAACGAGTTTGGCTTTAACTTTTAGCTCGATAAAGAACCTTTCAGAACATATTGCTATAGCAAGCAAGCCAGATTTGTTGCATGTCATATTTTCTTTCTGTGTAGCAAGTTGTTTTTCTAATGGCGCTTCTGATTAACGCTATTCAATTACATATCTCCTACTGAAAACCCGTTTCCGATGCGGAACTCTGGGCAGCTCCCATCACGATGCATCGGTAATTTTCCAAACACCACAAACATCTTGCTTCCTCGAAGATATATTTTATTAGAAATTCGCAAATACATATTCATGAACGACATTGTGCAATGTGTCAATGAGTTGTAGCATCTGCCTACTTCGTCGCAGTGGTTTCCATTATCCACGAGCGGGCTTGGCGCACATCCTGATAGATTTGTGTTGTGGTGTCATCATTGGAAACCACATTCCTTACTAGCAAGGCGACCAGGTAGAAGCTCTGCGGCACATCGCGCTGAACATCGACGTCCATGAGCGGAGCACCCGGAAAATACTTGGTTCGCTTCAAGGGGAAGCCGCACAGCTGGTACTCAGGAGGCAGGATGGACTCTGTGTCGGCTATCAGCTTCCTGCACTTCTGCTTCGAGACCGTCATGGCCATTCCCTTGCCCTTGCGCGAGTCGTCGTTGTTGAACCCTGAAAAGTGCAGGTTTCGGTTGATCAGTGACTCCGGCTCCGAGCCACCCTCCATGCAGATCGGCTGGATCCAATTGTTCCACTTGACGGGCTCCGACAGGCGCAGGACGGCCAGGTTGTGATCGCCGGTGTCCTTGTCGAAGTTCGGGTGCACCGTGATCTTGGTGACAGGGCGAGGCACCGGTCCCGGCGTACAGAAGCCCAGCGAGTTGCATTCCAGCTCCTCCCCAGGCGAGACATTTGAGTCCCATATACCCAGAAGAGCCACGGCCTTGGTGTCCCCGGAGCGTGTCCTGAAGCGCTTCACGCAAGTGGCAGTGGTGAGGACGTGCAGTTCGTTGACGATGACCACGGAGCACCCTGTCCTTTGGTAGTGGTCATCTGTAAGTCGTAATTTTTGAAGATTGTATGTTAGTGCTAGTCTCATTTTCTAAGAATGGAAAACCATTTACTTACCCATGTCTTCCATCAGGAGGCCTACCCAGGGCATCTCGGAGGGCTCTGTCTTTTGGTCAGTGGTGTACATTAATTTCTCCTCGAGGCGACCGCATTGGGGCCCCGCCAAGGCCAAGGCTTTAGAGGCAGATAGCACGTAAATGTATCTGGTAAAGATTTTACTTGAAGGCGCTACTCACTCGCCAGTAAAGCCACAACTAGTAGCTGAACAAGTTTTCCGCTCCCAAGCATTTCCATGTCGATGTGGCTGGTACCAGCGCTCAGAGTTGACTAAGCTGTGTTTCCCAGATCGAATAAGCTTAGCTTGCAATGAAAGCTATTAATTAGCAATGCCAAATCTCTCTCGTCTTGTCGAGTCATAACATATCTCAGATTCTGTACCAATTCGTGCTGTCTGGCTGGGCTCTCAAATCGATTGAATATTGCCAATCGCGCCAGGCGAAACAGGCCCTGATCAGGACCCTCATTATATAGCCATTAGGCCCCCACAGTTCCCGGGTCTACACGCTCCCCGAGAACCCCGGGATGTGCATTTGCTCATGACCGCCTTCAACTAGGCTGAATAATTAATGTTTCAATTAGAATACTATTATCGGGGGCAAGCACAGGCCGCTCAGCGGGATGCGAAGGTGAAGGACAGCGAAGGACATTGTAATTTACCCGGCCTCGAGGAAGGGGCTGGACTTAACACTCTACTAAAATGCTTACAAATTGCCCGACCAGATCCGGCTGGCAGTTTATTGTCCACTCAACCAACTTGACCTGCTCGGGCCGGGGCGTTCATAATTCGCATTGTTATGAATCCCACTGAACCCCACACCCCACATGTTCCTGCTCTGGGTCCCGCTCCTGTTGCCCTCCTCGTCTTTGTGGGCATCCAATCAATGTGCTCCTAGTTGGGCCCGGACTTTAATGAACGACCGGCTGGTTGGCTGTTTGCTGGATGGCCAGCCATTCGGCAGTGCTCGTAAAACTTGGCTGCCCTAGCCTTGAGTGTGGCCTAGGCCGGAATGTATCCCCGAGGCGGCGGAAATGGAAATGGGGAGACGGAGACGTAGACCCATGCAAATTGTTTGGACCCTGAGCGTGGGCATTGGGTGCGCCTTTTACTTGTAAAGGGTCGAGAAATGGCCTCCCACTTGCGTGTGCCTCAATCCTTAATCGCAGAGAGCACGTGAGCAACTTGATTCTCGGCTCCTGGGCAACCGCTGTAGGGCTGGAGCCCGGTTGCCCGAATCGAACTGAATCATTGATTAGGTCTCGCAGGACCTTGTTTTAAAGCGTAAATTTAAGGCAGCCGAAATACTAATTTAAGCTTGAAAGAGTAAGCTTTCTGTATTACTTAGTAAAGCTAGAAAAATTCGAAGAATTAATGAAACTTGAAGCCAGCTCAAAACCCAAACTTGCGATTCAGTCATTTTCTTTTCTTGGTAGGCACACGGAGAAAATGTAAACAAGGCAATTAATTTATAATTTTTGGACTAAACCTTGCGTTATTTATAATTGAATACATTTTATTTAAGTTGAACCTATTATTTTTACTACATTTACAATAAAATGTTGATAATTTGTTTTCTTATACGTTCAGTTTCTTACTCAAAGAAAGGTAATTCTGAGCAAACAGAGGCTCTGTTCCGCTTTAGTTGTCTGCATCCACAATTTGTATGGAAGCTCTGTAAAGGCTTTACAATTATTGACATTATTCCTTGTGCATTCAGACTGAGAAGGATAGGTTCAAGGATATTAATTCCCTTCCCCATATTCTTGCAGAATCCAACCAAATATGAGCCATAAAGGAGCGCGACAATGAGGCAGCATGACGCGTGACGGCGAGATTCCAGCCATCTTCAATCCGAAACGGGTGCGCACTCCCTCCGTGGTGGTTACCGGCGACTCATCCACGAATGGCCCATACAACAACAACAATAGCGGCGGCGGAGCGGGAGCCAGCAGTAGCAGCAGCACGGCGGTCGTGGTTGCACCAGGCTCGACTGCACCCAATGGCAGTGGCACTGGAGCGACCGGCAGCTGCGGCTTCAGCAACGTGCTCACCTCAAGCAACCCGCAAATAACCCACCAAGACTCGATCTCGTCGAGCCAGCAGGATCCCAATGAGGTGATCATCATACCGGCCGACACCCCCACGAGCGCACCGGGCAGCCACAATGCAGCGCATCACTTCGGCGGCGGCGACTCCAGCGACACGCAGACAGAGCAGCAGCAGGCTAACGGCCACGGGGAGGAGCCGGAGCTGCGCTTCCGGAAGCTGCAGGCCTGCAAAGAGTCCTGCTGCTCTGAGTTGGCCCGCAAGGTGAGGTCTGAAGTAGTGAGTAGTGAAACTATATTAAAAACGGAATGTTTACCCACAGATGTACTTCGGCGTGTGCGTGACCATCCTGATGACCGCCTCGTGGGTGGGGGCCACCCACTGCATCAAGTACATGTACAAGTATAGAGCTCCGTACGATGACGTGCTGAACGACGACCAGGACACGTCCTCGAGCCGCGCCGAGCTGAGCACGGAGCTGGAGGACATACTGGCCATCAGCGACTCGTCGCTGCACCACGTCGAGGACGCCACCGAGATGTTCAATATACCACCGCGCCAGCCTGTCTACTTCAGTGCCCCGTTCTTCGCCGCCTGGTTCTTCACCAACTTCTCGCTGCTCTTCTTCCCCATCTACATCCTGGGTCTGGTCTCCACGCGCAAGTGCGAGAAGCTGAGCGACATCCTCGGCGATGTGCTGCGGGGATTCCGGGAGCGCGGCTTCACAGTGGGTGAGTTGAGTGTGGTGTCCACCACGGGTTGGAAAATTCCACTAATTGCGTTCCTCCTTTGCAGGCCGCTTCCTCAACCGCTGCCTCTGCTTCTGCATTTTGTGGCTGGTCACCACCTACCTGTACACGCTCTCCCTGCACGTGCTGTATGCCACGGATGCCCTGGCGCTGTTCGCCACAAATGTGGCCTGTGTCTACCTGCTCTCCTGGGTGATTCTGCACGAGCAGTTCGTGGGCGTAAGAGTGAGTAAATGACAAGGGAAATTGTCTGCATTTATAAACCTACTATCTATCCGCTTTACCATCAGATCGTGGCCATCATCCTCTGCGACACGGGCATCGCGCTGCTCGCCTATATGGACGGAATCACGGAGAGTCGCACCCTGAGCGGCGTTGTCCTGGCCACGTTGGCCGGCGCCGGCTATGCCGTGTTTAGGGTGAGTTCACAGTTCGCGCCGCCTGTTCGTGCTCGGAACATGTCGTGCTTATGTTGCCCCGTCCCGACGCTTTCCAGGTTATGTTCCGCAAGGTGATGGGCGATCCGCCGGTGAGCCAAATCGCCTTCATATTCACCGCCCTCGGCTTTCTCAATGCCCTGCTACTGTGGCCCGTGGTGCTGGGACTCTACCTGACTGGCACGGAAAGCCTGACATCGGAGAGCATACCCTGGAACCTGCTGTTCGCGGCGAGCCTCTTGCTCCTGGGTAGGAACTTCTCCCCAGCCCCTTGTGCCTGGTGTCCTGCGCTGCCAACTTTTATCGGTGTAATTAATTTTGATTGCAGTTTTCCACGTTCTGATGCAGTTCAGCGCCGCCGTAACGTACAACATGTTTGTGACATTGGGTCTGATTACCGCTGTGCCCGTTTCTGGTGGTATGTACACGGACGGGCTCCTCAACATGAATCCAAAGGAGGTCTTGGCTGGGTCCCCTTTGGCATGACGGATTCCGTGACTATAAATTGTTTTAAATTGTGATATGAAATCCGGGCACTCATGTGGGGCACGTGAAAACATTTGATCCTTAGGGTGGGGGTAATGCGACATAAATTTCCACATACAACTGTATATATTTTATTTCTAACTGAGTTGGAATCATTTCTATGCAAACACTTGAACATATAATCGATTTTTAAAGCCGTTACCCAAGTAGTACAAGGAAAATACACTTTAAGAGAGGCAAAAGGATACATGTCCGACCTCAAAAAGTTAATATATTTTTGATAAACTTTCCCATAACCAAACTCCGGGATTTTTTTTTTTTCAATCAAGAAAGTGGATGGGGTTTTTACATTTTCCTGAAGAGCGCTTAAGACTTAGCAATTTGAATTTGTTCACCAGTTATTAGGTTAATTATACAATAAGATTTTGGCATACTGGGTAATAAGTAGTACATAAGTTAAAGAAGCGATCCTAATACATACAACCCTATTTGTATCATAGATCCCCCAAGAATTCTTGAAAACTAATTCCATTCTCATTTTTGGCACCTGCAGCCCTCGATGTCATACTGTACAGTGCGAACTTTGCGGGCATGAAGCTGGCCGGAGTTATTCTGATCGGCATCGGATTTTTCCTCGTTATGTTCCCCGAAAACTGGCCAGACTATATAACGCGATTGTTGCGGTAAGTGGGAAATATTTTCTTGATTTTACCCATATTGCTACGAATAATTGTTATGCCAATTAATATGCTAATTTTCTTTTTTTGTCAGAGTAAAGACTCGTGCGTGTTTGGTTTGAATATTTAACGGCCTCTGTTGATTTCGGTTGTAATTCACTTTGCGTTTCATTTCGAATATATTTTATTTGTGTTACTGCCGCCGCCGTGTGGCATTAATGACTAAAGCAAACGATTAAATAAACCATCGAAGAAATTAAAGTTTCTACCCATGTTTGATTTTGATAAAAAGCCATTGATTTCCTGTATACTCACATAAACTATATATTTAATTTTATATAAACAAACATCTTGCAGAAAGAGCGTTCGTGCCATACTCCGTTACCAATGTTGTTGTGAATTAGCCGAAATTCGCTATGCTCATTCGGTAGGCCAAAAACACAAGCTAAGCCAAAAACCCATAACCAAAACCACAACTAAAACCAAAAACAAAAACAAAATACAACCCCTGATCCCAGACACATTTTTAGATATTAACTAGAACCGTTTAGGCCAGTCTAAGATCTGTGTTTACACTAACAATTAATAATCTAATCTTTTTAACTGAACTCTGACTTGATATTGCTAATGATAAGTAACCGAAACTTGGCAGATTTTTTACTGAATACACCATGAAAACTTCAATGCTAACTGTAGGTCTATATAAACATCCATATATATCCCACAAAACAACAAATACAACACCTTGGCTTCCAAGTTTTGCGCTCACCCTTGTTGAAAGATATATCTAGACATGTGTATCTCTGTTACTATATATTTACTTGCCTTTATGTACACACCCGATTTACCATTTACCGAAATATACCTCTACACACACGTTTTA